AGTTTTAAATACTTTTAAAAAGACAAATCTATGTATGGAGAAAAAACTGAAAACCAGAGAATTTAAAAATGTGAATGGTTTAATAAATAAAAGGAATTAAATTATTAAGAAGACAGCTCAAAATGTGAGTAATGTATTGGTTGTGTTAAAATTAACCAAATACAAAAATTAAACTATTTGGGTTGTTTAGTAACAGATTTTAAGAATTTTCTTTTTTGTAGATAATAATGATTTAGTGATATAAGTCCTACAGATTAATCAATAGCTGAGGAGAAGGGGTGGATTCATACTTTTTCTAAGGGTATTTGTGTGTAAATGAATATAACGAACTGAGTTGGAACTTGGTGCTCTGATTAACAATTCCAAGCCATTACCCATTACACCACTCGCACATCCAAGTTTACAGCACCTGGTATTCCAAAGTGGTTACCCATCTAAGTAAAGACCAGGCTCAACATTGCTTAACTTCAATGATCGTACAGCAACCTATGTTTCAATGTGATGTGATCATAAGCCTTGTTTAGTAACAGATGGAAAATGTGACATAGAAATCTGAAGGCACATAGGAATAAAAAAGGAGCTTTCCAGAAACTAAGCAAAGTATTAAGAGGAAAATTTTATACAAAACAAAAAGACAGATGTTGAACAATTTCTCCAAAGATGAGGAAAAAAACTAGAAGCAGCAGGAATGCATTTCTACAGAAGGATACTGAAAATTTCCATGGACGGAATGAGTAAGCAACAAGGAGGTCTTATAGAAAATGGCAACAGAAAGAACACTTATACTCAAAATCATTTATTTATTTGATTTTGACATCATCAAATCAAGATAAATATGAATTCAATTTTATTAGTATTAGTATTTTATCTCTTATAAAGAAATTTTGAAACATTTGAATTGAAAACATTCATTATCTCGTATAAAAATATGAAAATTTAAAAAATCCTTTTTATGAAAAAAGTTTCTTTAAGAACAGTGTAACGGGGTGCTGCCCATTTTAAATAAAAGATCCATTGTTTAATAAGAGATGATTCTGAAGAATTCCGAGAAAAATGCTTACGTTTTAGATAAAATTATTTTAGACAGTAAATTACAAAAACTGTCTTAAAAATGTGATCTGTGTCAACGTGTTGTTTTGTATCCCTGAATATTAGTTTGATTCAATTGCATACAATACAATGCATGTAGACTAAGTACTTTTTTAAGAAGTGGAAGAATCAAATTTTGGCCTAAGTCACTAAAAATAATTTAGTAAAGAAAATGTGTTCAGAAAACTGGTACAAAAATAATTTGAATTTTTGTCAACAGCTCAATTTCAACCGTATAAATATTACTGCACAAATGATAACTAAATAAATGTAATAACTCCCAACAAATCTAGTGTAGTCCAAAAGATGATGCAAAAACTTAAGGTACAAAATGAAATTTATTCCATTCTTGTCATATAATTATTCTCACTTTTGCCCTTGATAACAGACTTTCCAATTTTACATTATTACTCAAAGATTTTCCACTTCTAACACAAACTTATTAAGTGGTATGGAAACTTTATAAAGTGGCAGAAAACTAGGTTAGTACTCACCTTGTAAAATATCAATGAAGATAGTTATGAAAATATGCTTGTTGGAATTAAATTAAGAATCAAAGTTGTGTTTGATTTTGTTAATCCTACATTGTCCTCAATTTTACTAAACTGAATAAAGGTATTTCAGTCAGATCATAAGGGGGTAAATATCTGCTTTTCATTCAGTAAGCTGACAATGTCATATTGTATGAAGAGGGAAAAAAAAAGTGATGAAATCTTTGAAATCACTGTTTTCAAGTTTCTAGCTGATGATGAAGGTTGTTAAGGGAACAGTGAATCTGATCAAGATCCTATTTTATCTATATATAAAAAACAAAAATAAAAAAAAAACTTAATGCTGTCTTTGTTTTTAAATATTTATTTAATGAAAATAATGCTTTCCATCTCATTCTGGTAAGGAATTGCTCAATATTTTGTAATAAATTTATCATGTATTCTTCCTAGTTTGGAATAGGGATGTTTTTTAGTGAGTGTGGTATTCTGAATTCTTGCATTCTAGTTTCCTCCGTAAATTTTGTAAACAAACGTTGTGTAATCAGAAAAAAAAAAAAAAATGTGTTTTTTTATATTATATATATATATCTCATTTTTATCACTAGTTATCTACCATTGCCTGAAGAAGTACCATCTTAGTACTGAAACATGAAAGTTTTTGTGTAGTGATGTAAAATATTATATTTTGCTCTACTTTGTATTGAGCACTTTTTTAAAATAAAGGTTACGAACTGTGGATTTTTACTCCATCTGTTCTTTCTTTCAACTAAATGTATATATATATATATATATATGAAAAATGGCTGGCTACTTGTTTTTGAGCACATCCATCTGCTACGGTGGTGAGCTAATCCTCATTGTAGACGCCTGCTCAAGCACATTTTTGTTTGTTCAACATCCACAGAGCCCACCTGTGGTTTATACCGCAACTATGCTGTGTGGATCATAGTTACACTTTCTGCAAGAGTGTGCATAAGACTGTTTCCAAACAGTTCCATCTACTCAATTTAACGCACAAGGCTTAGGCTAACGTGGTGTCATTTTCAGACATTTTCAAGGGGCTGTATCCTGGGATCGCCTCTCCAAATGGATAACATTAAGAAGTCCTCTTCCTGAAGATTTAGCCATGGTGAGATTTGAACCCTGGTATCATGGTTGAATTGTAAATATATATATAAAATGCACAGTAGATATTCTGATAAAATCTTCAAAGCCTACTGCTATTTTATGCTGTTATAACACAATAGTACGCCATCTGTTACTGAGCCTTAGTAAAACATGCTGCAATGAAGGTCAGACTGGTAAAAGTTCAAACAGATGTCATGCTACAGTTATGCAGATGTGCTTTTGTTTAATTAGAACAGTGGAGCCTTTGAGAGGGTAGATAGTCCTTTTAGAGAATTGCTGCACATGTTGGATATGATTTGTTGATGGTGCTTCAATGTTGGCAGTAGTGAACAAATGAATATTCCTCTACTCGTAGAGAAGGTTCTGGATGGCTGTGTAGCACTGATGCTCACTAAGAGTGGTGGTTTGTAAAGGCAGCATTGGCAGATCTCCACAGAACAGATTAGAGTAAATGTGGATGCAGGAATATCAACATAAATCATTGGGAATCATTTGTAATAGGATTATGAAAACACATGCCTCTAACAAGACTTATGCCCCCAACACTGCTGTCCTGAACATCTCTTGTGATATCATGAGAGGGTCATTTGGGAAATTGAATGGTGCTCTCTATGGTTCTGTTTGCATGCAAGTCATGGTTATTTGTATATGTGATGCAGATATAAGGACTGACAACTTTCAGAGTGTATTTCCCCAGGACACACATCTAACCTTTGGCCTCAATGGTAGTTTAAGTTACAATACTCAGAACATTGATCATTCAGTTCTGCTGACATTCCTACAAGAGGAAAGTGCTGTGCAGGATAATGCCTGCCCAAATGAAGCCATGCTACTTAACATAGCCTGCAAGATGTTTGACAATTTGATTGCTAGACTTTTGTCCTATTGAATATGTATGGAACATGATGGGATGAGTTGGTCAATTAGCCAACTCTTACTGTATTGCATCAACAAGTGCAAGAGGAAAGGAAAAATGTATCACAAAATGGTAGTCGTTATCTATACAATCATATGCATGCAAGAGTACAAGCAGGTGTACAGAGAATCCAGTATGGGGTATGAGCACTATTGATAAAGCCCTTATTTTGGAACTTGTGCACATATTGATCAGTATATGGAATCAATTACAGTAATGCATGTTTAATCTTGAGTAAATTGAAAAAAATCTGTTTTATATGCAGATATTGCGCACCAGAACACTTCCTCAGTGATGTCTATTCTGGGTTCATAGAATGTTTCAGACCTCCATTACATCAGACTTTCTCTCCCATGAGCCCATCTGAGAGTGGTCATGTCTCAACTGGCATTCTGACATAGCTTCTGCATGATTGCAAGAATTGTAAACAATATTTGTGCCTATGCAAATGAGAAACTTTTATTCAATTCTATGTAGAAAATCTGACCAATCAGAATTCAGATTATTGCAATTTTATTTTCATTATATATAAGTTTTCTCTCTATATATATACAAACATACACACATTCCCTCCAAAATATGGGTTATATCCTAAGAATATATACTCTTATAATAACAGCTCTGATTATAACTTGAAAGTTAGACATTTTCAGAAAAGTTAAATGTTATAATAAAATGTACAATGAAAAACATTAGGTGTTTCTGTTAAAATGTTACTTTAAATGTTCAAAACTCTCATAAGAGTTACAATCTGATAAACTGTTTCTATATTTTTCATGCATACATCTTTTCTAAATAGAAGACAGTATATTACAACTGATGAAATGTTTAATATTTATCATAATCTTTATTATAAACATGATTGGGGGGGGGCAGATAGTGGCATACTTTCCCCATTGCCTTCTTCATGGCCACTGAGAAATAATTTCTAGTTAGCTAGCTAACCATAGGATTGCTAATCAGTCTCTATATTGTGAAGGGTGATTATTGATCATATCCCAAAGTGACACAGCACACAAAAAAAACATGAAAAACCATAGCTGCTATTAAAATTTGCATAGATTTTGAGGAGAAAATGAACGTACATTGGTACATCAATAATTGATTCATTGACTTTATATCTATGGGCTATCAACTCTTTGCAGCTTATTTAAAGAAAATATTTTTAGATTGTAAGAATTTTTATTGGGAAGTAATAATTTACTGACACAAATCTTGCTAATTTACCCATAGCTGGGGTTGAGAAGAGGTAGATTTATACCTTTCCCAAAGGTATTTGCACATAAGTGAATACAACAAACCCAACTGGAATTGGAACTTGGCTTTCCAATTAACAATTCCAAACCATTATCCATTACACCACATGCACATCCAAGCTTACAGCATCTGGCATTCCCATGCGGTCATCCATCAAAGTACTGACAAGTCTCAATGTTGCTTAACTTCAGTGATTGTACAGGAACTGGTGTTTCAATTTGATGAGGCCATAAGTAGGTACACCAATAAGTCTAATGATGCAAAAGCATTTATTTTACAAAAATGCTTTCCAATAATCTTTTTTTTACCAAAGCACTTAACCCTACACTTCTCTATTAATTATATAGATCAAACATTATATACTAGAAACTTAAGATCAAAATTCAGTTAACAATTGTTTCATGGTCCATATTTATTGATCCATTCTTGTATAAAAAGGTATCCCATTAAGTCTTGCATTTTTAATTTTTTTTTTTTACAGATCACTATGTATTTGAACAAAGACATCAAACAAATCTACTTATGAGAAGTAAGTCAAAGAGAAGACACTTCTGAACAAAAAATGCTTTACTTTTTTTTCTTATGATGATGCTGGACTTTTGTAGTTTGCATATATATATATATATATATATATATATATATATATATATATATATGCAAAGGAGGGATAAAACACAGATATGATTATGCACACATCTATAAAGATATTGATATGTACTAATACATCTACACATATACAGTTGTGTATGTAGCCCTAATGAAGTGTTTGGCAGAAATCAGTACACTGGCAAAAGCTTTTGGTCCATAGGGCATAGGCCTGCAGAGGTCAGCTTTTACTGGAGATGAATAAGAGAGAACAAGAACAAATTGGGGAAAATTAGTAGGTGGACACAGATGCGTGGGCAGCACATTACAATACTTCATTTGAAGTGAAAGGTGGATAAGGCTAGGGTAGTGAAAAGATGCCAGTATATCAAGTGTGAGTATTTGAAATGGTTTTGAAAGGAACTGGGCAGATCTCCGCTTCCTGATGATCATCTTCCCAAGACAGAATCACCAACACTGCTTCCAAAACAATAACTATTTGGTACAGCATCAAATACTTAAATGCATATGAAAAAAAATCAGTTGAAATCAGTCCAAGAGCAGAGAGTGAGTTGGTGTTCTACTAGGGATTGAGGTGGATAGAAGTTCAACATCATTTTTTTTTTTTATAAGTAGCACACTAACCTATGTGATAGTTTGTCAGCCAACAGGTAACTTGGTCAGGGGTGGGGGTCTGTATGATTCACTTTGTAAGTCTCTGTAAAACACAATGTTGCAATTTTAATTTTACTTTTTTTTTTCAAAAATAAAAGATTATACAAGTCTTTTCATAAACAATTTATGACTTCCCACCACGTGGCTTTTCTGTGTCTTTTCTATAAATATTTTCATGGTAATTGTTCTAATGAGCTATCCTTGGTACTTTGAGCATGTCAATTTAATTATGCTATTAGATTGGCTACTAGCTTTCTTCCTTTTATTATTGAATTAGCTAGATACAACCTGAATTTTTAATAGTTTCTCTTCTCGCACTTCTCACCTGTCTCTCCACTGCTTCCCTACCACTTAAAATCTTCAAAAATTTAAACCAATTGCCATTTTTTGTCTTCCTGAATCCTGTTCTATTATTGTCATTTCTCCTCACTAAAATTTCCTCATTCTCTTTCATACCCAGTAACCCCATGTGTCTTAGTGACATTAATGTTTTGCTTGGGATAAAAAAAAAAAAAAAAAAAAAAAAAAAAAAAAAAGAACTTCAAGTAAAGTTAAAGATTACTGCTTTGAATTAACCAAAATAGCTACAAAATATTTTTTTTTTGTTTGTTTTCAGCTTTAAAAAAAACCCTGACAAAACCTTTTATCAACAAAAACATGACAAAAACCAAGGTGCAATGGAACAGTTTAACTAGTAGGCAGCTCTTTATTGATCATGGTTAAAAAAAAAATCACTGTATTAATACTACATTCATAAAAAAAATATCACTATATCAATTACTTCATTCATAAAAAAACAGAACTGAAGAACATTCATGCAGTTATTAGAACTGATGAAATGAGTGGAAAAATAGTAAAAGCAGAAAGGAGAGAGTGAATTTATTGTGAATTTTAATCAACTGAACTTTCCCAATAATGTAAATAGCATACATCAGAAAATGTGATGGCCACTGACAATTTGGAATGTCTTCTGTATGTTATATTCCTTCAGGATGTTAGTAGTCATGGCTCCCCATAATTTCCTGTCCTTTGTAGCTCTTAATAATTTTTTTATTTTTGCTATCTCTGTCCCACCATCCATTTACTCAAGCTCACTAGGTAGGTTATTGTTTTCTGCTTGCCCTCAATATGTCCTGTCAGTATCAAATTTTCCAAGCCTTCTTGCCTCATTATGAGACTTGTTCTGATATAAGTGTCCTTTTTGTTCCCATTTTCTAAAACTGTTGTTGCTCACATGTTCAGTGCATGGTATTCTCAGCAGCATTCTGTAGAACCACATTTCTCTTGCTTCAAGTCTCTTCTTCACCTGTGAAGAGATTGGCCAGCATTTACTACCATATAGGAGGATTGATATTAAATAATAGTTCAGTACTCTTTTCTTTGTTTCCAATTTTCCAGTTTATTAATACTTTGCTTAGCTTTTGGAAGGCAAGTTTTGTTATCCCAATTATAGAAAATTATAAAATGAGCATTCTCAATATAGTAAATTTTTTAGATTACATTTTGTTGTGGAGTATCGAAGCACCCCCACAAGATGGACCGATCTAAAAAGCTAAATAGCACACTCTCTTACTGAGAGAGGTAGAAGAACAGAACTGAGATGAAGTTCATGATTAACTGTTATTTCAGTAAACTGTGTTCTCAATTGTTAGTACCATATTATTCTTCAGAATAAATTACTACTACTTTTTATGTGTATCGACTTATCCATTTCACGATACAACATTTGGTGACAAGGGATTTGAAATTTACAGCAAATACCAACATTTGACAATGAAAAAAGGATTTGAGTGCAAAAATTTATAGTCATATACCAAGAAATTATTTGGTGACTTTTCAACCTCAGATTAATTCCAAGTTGGACATATAAAAACAAATAAGAATTTTGTCTGGTTACTCAGCTAAAATTTTGTCTCTATAAAGTAACATGGAGGATTTCAAAGAAGCAATGTTGGAATTTCTGAGAATCCAGCAGAAACAAAATGAATGATTGGAGAAACAATGACGTCTGGACCAGGAATGCTCTGAGGAGCAAAACAAATGGTTTGAATTGTTTGGATTAAAAAAGGAAAGAGCATGGCAATGCAAGTTCTGTTTCTCAGGATTTGGTAATAAATTCAATTGGTGAATTTAAGTACAGTCCTGAAGAGGAGGTAACTTTTGCAGTGCATTTTTGCCATTAAGAGGCCTTTCAAAAAGATTGCACTACATGGTTAGATAAAAAGAAAATTTCTTGCTCAGAAAATTTGGTCCAAGTGAACACAAAAATATGTGAATTACATACTTCCGAGAAAGGCTGGGGAAGTGTCTTTTGTGGAAACTGTCTTAATTGTGGAAAAAATTTTTGCGGAGAAAAGTTTTCATTTCAATACAAGATAGCAATGTTTAAACTAAAAAAAAAAAAAAAAAAAAAAAATGTGGGAAAGATTACTCAAATTTTGCTGGGATTGTCAATAGAGTGTGTGACAAGTTTAAGCTGAAAGAACTTACTCCTGATATGTTTAAGTGCTTGATTTTTGTACAAAGACTGACATCTCCAGAGGATGCTGAGATCAGAATGAGAATTTTTTGTCTAAATTAGAACAAAACTCAGAAATCAGTCTGCAAATGGTCACAGAAGAATGCAAACGAATAGAAAATCTTTGACACAACAAAAATCATGGAACGCAATGTGTCAAATATTCAGACAGTTAAGCAAAGACACCAAAGAAAATGTTGCCTGGAAAATAAATCCTTGTTATGGTTCTGGACAGATTCACTATTACAAGGAATGTCCATTTAGAAAAAAAAAAAGAATGCTTTAATTGTAGCAAAAAAAAGAAAAAGGAGACAAGTATATGCATTGCAGAAAACCCAAAAGTAAAAAGGGGTCAAAAATGGAAAAGACAGTTAACTCAAATTCAATGGAAAACAAAGGAATAAAAATGATAAGAAAGTTTGTGAATGTACAGATGAACAAGAAAAATGTTAAATTCCAATTGGATACTGGTTCAGATCTGACACTGATAAATGAACAAACTTGGAAAAAAATTGGCAAACCAACTTTATTGATCACAAAAAGAATTGTTCATAGCATTACAGGAAATAAACTAAATTTTGAAGGAGAATTTTACACAAATGTGACATTTATGGGCAAAACTATAAAATTAAAAGGATTCATTATGAAACAAACACAGAATCTGTTCAATTGTGTCATTTGGCCTTCTCAACCAACCAATTAATTTGTTCTGCTTTAGTGTCAGTGTTAATTCAAACAGAGTGAAAAAATTAAAAAATGAATTAACGATAAAATATCCTGAATTTTTTTTCTGAGAGTCTTGGCAGCTACACCAGAGCTAAAGCGACATTCAAACTAAAAGATAATGTGATGCCTATATTTAAACCAAAAAGAAAAGTACCCTTTGCGGCAGAAGCCTCTATTAGTAAGGAATTAGACCACTTAGAAAAAAAATGGCATGTTAACCAAAATGGATTACAGTGAGTGGGCAATCCCTGCTGTTTATGCAAAAAAAGAAAAACAATAAAATTAGACTCTGTGCAAATTTTTCTAAAAGATTGAACAATTCTTTGGAAACATACAATTACCCTCTGCTGAGTCCAGAAGACATTTTCACAAAATTGAATGGTGGCAGAGTGTTCTCAAAATTGAATTTGTCTGAGGTGTACTTCCAGATTCCTGTCAACAAGGAATGTGCAAAGTATTTAACTATAAATATGCATAAGTGTCTGTATAGATTAAACAGGTTGCCATTTGGGATAAAAGTCACACTAGGCATTTCCAACAAATCATGGATATGTTATTGAATGATGCGGACTTCGCAATAGCCTACCTTGATGACATCTTAATTAAGAGTAAAAGCCGAGAACAACATGCCAAACATGTTAAAGAAGTTTTTTGAAAAAATAAAACAATACAGCTTAAAACTTAGTTTAGATATGAATATTTTTATCTAACATTAAGT